AAGAAAATACAATATCTTGTTTTGTTCCTATAATATAAGCTCCTTGAAGGCTATGTAAACCTTTCAGTAATAATTCAGCTCTGTATGCCCTCACAGTCACAATTATTAAATAATTCAATAAATATTTCAGCACATAGAAAGACAGGCAAAGATACCCAGGTAAAAAGAAACCTTAATATTTCAAATTCAAAATTATAAAATAGAAGTATCAGGGACAACCATTCAATTTAAGAAATATTATTACTAATAGTTTTTCCTTGAAAGATAAAATAATTCAGGTGATAATGTTCCCACTTTATTTTTCATAAACTGTATTTATACACACACAAACAAATACTAATATATATGCTTTGAAGCAGAATGGTTTTAGGTGCCCAGTTCTACAATTTTCAACCAAGTTCTATGGCTGGTATTAAAAGAGGCTAAAAATGGTCCACATTCAAACTTGAAAGAACTGCTGGTTAATAAGGTCAGCACTTCTATATAGGAGTAGCTATTTTAGCAGAACTGGTTCCATCACTACTTCCACTACTGCTATCTACCTTTATCATCCTCTTACCATGGGGCAAAGGAGGAGGACTAGGATGGAAAAGTGGACCCCTGCTTCTATCTTTTCTCACAACCCAATGTCAAAGGAGAGTTATGTAACAGGAAGGGTTAGGAGGGAATTTGTGAAAGCCAGACCACACCTCTCCCCCACTCTAAATCTAACCTGGAATGGGAAGGGAACTAAGGGTAGGGAGATAGGTAGAGCTTTAAATTGAATATGAGATTGAAATTTTAAAATGGAAGGACTGAATCTTAAGTAACTGACAGATACTGTTTTAATTGCTAAAAGAAGTTGAAAAGAAAATTTAAGGCTGGGTGCAGTGACTAACGCCTGTAATCATAGCACTTTGGTAGACTGAGACAGGATTGCTTGAGGCTAGGAGTTCAACAGCAGCCTAAGCAAAGGAGACCCATCTCTACAAAAAAATAAAAAAATTAGTTGAGCATGGTGGCTGGTAGATACCTATGCACTACTCAGGAGGCTAAGGTAAGAAGATTGCTTGAGCCCAGGAGTTTGAGGTTGCAGTGAGCTATGATGACACCACCGCACTCTTGCCCTCCCCCTGGGTGACAGAGTAAGACCCTGTCTTAAAAAAGAAAAAAGGAAAAGAAAATTTAAATAGAGCAGAGCTGTGTTTAAAGGATACTGATGCCTAGTGGGAAAATAAGGTTGACATAATAGGACAGTTCATGACAAAAACTATGTCATGCTTATATTACAGTAAGTTGAGAGTCTGATAAATATCCATATTTATTAATTACTATATAATATAGTAAAGTGAATACTTTTAAAAGGTATACAATATGGGTTATGTTCATGCCCCCACACAAGAGCTAAACTGAAAATGCAAAAAAAAAAAAAAATGCTTTAATCAAATCAATAATGTACCCTTTGAGCAGGAATAAGCATTGTATCCTAAGATGTTTCCTTTGTAATTGCTATTAACTAGATCAATGGTGTGATACAGTCTTTAATATACTAAATTTCAGTTATGGTTTTCCTGAGAGGGCTATAATGTTGGAGCCAGCAAACACCAAAAGCTGGTAAGAGCAAAAGCAGCCATCTTGGAAAAGAGTAAAGGTAGGAAAAACACTAACAGTCCAGTAAGTGGTTTGTTTATTAAAAAAGTACAATCAGAAACATTTGACAGAAGTTTTATCTGGTCTGTCCTTAACCTGCCAATGGTAAAACTATTTTATCAACATCATTACTGAACATGATATGGTGAGGGGCAAGATCACAGTTTCCTGGAATGCAGTCAATCTGCAAGTGTGGAAGTGTCTGTATAAGAAATGCTGCAAGGCCGGGCGCGGTGGCTCACGCCTGTAATCCTAGCACTCTGGGAGGCCGAGGCAGGCGGATTGCTCAAGGTCAGGAGTTCAAAACAGCCTGAGCGAGACCCGTCTCTACCATAAAAATAGAAAGAAATTAATTGGCCAACTAATATATATAATATAAAAAAAATCAGCCGGGCATGGTGGCTCGTGCCTGTAGTCCCAGCTACTCGGGAGGCTGAGGCAGGAGGATTGCTTGAGCCCAGGAGTCTGAGGTTGCTGTGAGCGAGGCTGACGCCACGGCACTCACTCTAGCCTGGGCAAGAAAGCGAGACTCTGTCTCAAAAAAAAAAAAAAAAAAAAAAGAAATGCTGCAATACACAGGACTTTATACAGATTTGAAGAAAGTATAATAGCAGGAAACTTAAGCAGCTGTTATAAAAACTAAAATAAGTATAAGTCACAAGCAGAAAGGGCAGAAGAAATCCTTCAAACAGACTGACAGATACTCATTCTGAAGGACACAAATGCAAAGAACAACCCTAGAGCCAAAATCCATCTGATAAGCAGCTGCAAAAACAGGATTCATATTTTAAACAAATACCAACTAGAAATTCATAAAGAACCTTTTTTTTTTTTTTTTGCATACACACACACATACATATACACACTCAAAAGTCAGGAAAACTTAGGAAGCTGTCCTGGCAGGGGGTGATCAAATGATTGCTGGGGCACTTATTTCTTAAAATGCCTTCAGTGTCTGTATCATAGCTTCATAAATTTACAAAGCTTTTACCACCATTTTTTGTGGCTTCATCACCCATTATTTTCACTAGTTCCACTCCAAATGAAAACGCTCCAGAATTCAGAATCTCTGAGATTATCAAATCCAACTTCATCTACATACAAGAAAGTATAGGCCCAAAGAGATTAAGTAACCTGTCCTAATTCTTTCAGGAAGGTAATGATAGGACGTTTCTGCCCAAAGTATGACTGTGGTCATACTGGGACATCACAAGGCCTCTCTAACCTGTCAGAGATACAGGAGCACCATGAATATTAAAGAATATGCAATGGATTCATAAGGCAGCTTCCATAGAAGAGGAATTTGTATAGCTTTTGAAGCTACAAATCTGAAGGAAAGTGTCAGATACAGCTGTGTGCTCCAAACATGCCTTTGGGGTTTTCTGTTTGTTTCTTCATTGTTTTAAGAGACAGGTCTCACTACATTACCCAGGCTGGATTTGAACTCCTGGGCTCAAAGGATCCTCCTGCCTCAGCCTCTCAAGTAGCTGGGACTACAGGTGAATGAAAAAGATATATATGTTTAGGTATATTCATTAAAATATTAATTTTATTCCTTCCTATTTAGGTTATTCCACATATTTCTGAATTCTCCAAAAGTCTAGAGGCTGGTCACATACCAAATGTTTCCAGCTAGGCAACTGAAAACTCATTTTAAAAATCCTTGATTCAAACACTTTAAAGTTCCATTCCTCATCCCTGATCCTACTTTTTATGAGGATTCTGCAACTCATTAGCATCCTTCAGAACAGAACAAAAAGTACCCCCTTCCTCTTTTCATTTCCTAATTCCATAAAAAGGAATTCTGAAGATAGAAGATATTTTATGTAAAGTGAGGAAAAATTATTAAGAGGCCATGCTAAAATGAGACTTTAATATTCAAGTTTTTTCAAAGCTTAAATTACATACCTACACACAATGATCAACAGATGTCCTGTTTTACTGTTTTAAAATGACTGGCAGGACACAGAGCTTTGGATCGATGTTATACACTTTGTGTTTATCTCTATTTTTTAAACTCTCTAATGCTCATATATTTATTCTCATAACCCCCAAACACATACTAAAACAGCTAATAAAAATAAAATATATATGACCAGGAGGTCTGCTACCTATTAAGTTAAAGGAAGCCAAGGAACAGTGGAAAAGTTAACATATGCATTATGCTAACACCTGCTCAACAGCGTTTGAAAACATTCCGAAAAGTATCAGTATCATGCCATTATGACGGGTTATTTTAAAGAATACTACGAAGCCACTGTGAAAAGAAAACTAACACAACACTCGGTATAAACAGTAACTGAGAAAAAGTTTCTAGGTTCTGCCACCTTAAGACAAACATGCAGCCTTTCGAAGTACACAATGCAAAAACCAACTAGGTTCCAGTGGAAGTGAAGCATATTCTTTCCCAAAGTAGGTCTGGACTTTTTAAGTTAGGAAGTGAACCCTAACAGTTGGCAAGTATGTAATCAAAAGACTGACCAAACCAAAACCAAAGCAGGCACGGTGTTCTTAATTTCTCAAAGACTGAAAACACGGACGTCACAATTGGTTCAATATTCACCTCCCCGTGGGAGGGAAAAAAAATAATGGATTTATACCCTTGAAATACTTGGCGCGGTAAAGAAAATCGAGTCTAGGGGAGGATGAAAGCAGGAAGAGCAGAGCAGGAAGAGGTACCACGCAGTCGAAAGTCTTCCTTCCCCAGAGCCGAACGAGTCCTTTCTTCCTCACCCCGACTCGCCGCCGCCACCGGGCCATGTCGCCGGGTCCCCGGCCCGGGCACACCTGCCGACGCCGGGCCGCGCACCCTCTGGCAGCGCCACTGCCGCCGCCTCCCCCCAGCCCTCAGCCCGGGTCGGCCGCGCAGGAGGCGAAAGAAGGGTGGGCTCACCAGGTCCCTCCGGGCTGGACGGCGCCGGGGGCCGGTGGGGCGGTGACCCGCACCCGGGGTCCCCCTGGGCGGGCTCCCTCAGGTAATCCTCGAAGCGCACCTGCCGGGCTTCGCCGCCACCCCCGAATCCCCACAGGCGGTTGGCTGTGCCCCGCAGAAGGCGCCCGCTCTTCCCGGTGAAGGTGGTCAGGTAGTCCATGTTGCCGCGGGGCAGGCCGCGGGGCAGGGGCCGAGGAGGTCTACGGTTTCCTCAGCGGCGGCCACCACAAGAAGCTCCCCTGCCCACCCGCCCGCCTGTTCGACCCGACCCGGGGGAGGTGGCTCCCAGCGCCTCACAGGAGGCGGGGGAAGGGGCGTCCCTCTCTTGGCCCGGGGCCGGACCACCAGGAAACTACGCGCTGGGGGAGCAGAAGATGGGCAAAGTTTTTGAAAAGTTTTTCTTGTTGCTTTCAAAAGACAAGCCAGGCAGAACTTAGCTTTTGAAAAAAGCCGTATTCTTCCCGTGGTTGACTCATTGTCGGAAAGCTGGCGACTTTGGGACAAACTGGACCGGTCCTATCCGCTCCCCCCCACCTTTCCGGCTCCAGTGGAGCAGGCCTGCCCCGCCCTGCCCCGCCCCGCCCCGTCCGGGACAGAGCAGACCTTCAGGACTGCGGGGGAAAGAAAGGGCACCCGGCCCCAGGGGCCCCAGGGCTGAGTCGGGGATAAAAGTGGCCGAGGGGAGGCTTTGCTGGAGGTGCGTGGAATTTGGGAGCCTAGCAGGGGTTTGTAAATAACAGTGCCAAAAAGTTTGTGTGCGTGTTGCAGTGGGAGGGGGGGGCACAATCACAGAAAACTTTTGCAGTTTGTAATTTCTTTTTTTTTTTTTGAGGAAGGGGAAGACTTTTTTAACGTAATATTCAATCATAATTAAAGTAAAGAATTAATAGCCATATTTTAAGTTTGTTGTGGCATTATGAACTGATTTTAGTGTTTGACATTCCATGAATCCAGTCCTGTAAGGCAAGGTAATTAAAGAAGGGCTTTAGTGTGCCTTTAGTTCATTTAATGGCGAAGAACATAGGCAGAGAAAGAGCAGAGTTTTGACCAATATTTATTACCCGATTTTGTTTCCTGTAAGATCCGATTATTCTTGTTATTCTCTTCCTTTCACTTCTGTTTATACCTCTTTTAGTTTTGCCACGCATCAAATAAGTAAACCCCTTTTTCTTGGAATCACCAGTATATTAATGTATTTGAAGAAAAGATTTGAATTAATTAGGAAGCTGCAGAAGTACCTATTCCAAATAATGAAGTCCAGAAAATCAGGAACTTAATATTAAGCTTTTGTCAAACTACTAAAGATTATCCTTACTATCACATAAAATTTTCTTAATTGTTTTTTAATTGGTTGATTAAATTCTTACTATGTTGGATGAACTTCACCATTCTAACATCAACATCACCTTTATACCTGGTTAAAAATATAGAATGTCTAGCTGCACCCTCAGATTGTCTAATTCACAGTGTTTATGGGAGAGGGGCCTAGAAATCTGCATATCCAGCAATCATCCATGTTTTCAGGAGTGTGGCTTGGGAAAGAACTTCTGCAGATTTCCTTCTGTACTTCCTAAGTACTTATTTGGTAGATCATGACTGGATAGAGTGTTTGTGTTCCCCCAATTCATAAGTTCAAAAATTCGTATGTTGAAATCCTAACTGCAGTAAGATGGTATTAGGTGAGGCCTTTAGAAGGTAAGTAGGTCATGAGGATAGAGCCCTCATGAATGCAATTAGTGCCCTTATAAAAGGGACCCCAGAGAGCTCTCTGCGTTCTGCCATGTGATGATATAAAGAAAAGACATCAGTTTGCAACCCAGAAGGGTGTCCTCCCCAGAAACTGACCATGCTGACACCCTGGTCTCTGACTTCTAGCCTTCAGAGCTGTGAATAAATTTCTGTTGTTTATAAGCTACTCCGTCTATGGTACTTTATTATAGCATCTGGAACTGAGTAAGACACATGGTAAGTGGCTCCAGGTTATTGCTCAGAATTCCACCTGATAAGGAAATATTACCATGTTTAGCACCACTTTGAAGTTCTACAAGAGGCTCAGTAAGTTTTATAAATCGAATTTCAATGATTTAAGTCTCATCCTGATTAACTAAATTGAAATTCTTTTTTTAAGATATGTTTTACATCTTCTCGAAATTCACTGTTTATTTTGTGATAAGCATATCCAAATAGTGTTTGGGTTTTTTATAACTTATAAGATCTGCATTTTTACATCCAACCTTAGCAGAACCTACATTCAGTTCAAGTACAGATTTACAGGTACTTAGCCCATGAGTTTTTTTCTGCTTCTATTTCATGGAAGGCTAGGGCTGCTGGAGAAAATGTATAACACCTTGATTGAGTGCCTTACATATTTTGATTTAAACTCAGCTGAGCACTAATGTCTCTGAAATCCTTTTCTTCATATAACAGGTTTTCTTTTTTATTGTCTCCATTTGTTGTCCGAACTGTCATCATTCTCCTGAAGTTATCAAATTGATCACTTGAACATCACTTGAACATGTTACTTTGCCTTCTACATGATCCAGAAAATCATAGGCCATCAAATATGAACACTCACTTTTCTTTCCTTTTTCTCTTCAATCTATATTAAGCTCCTTTTCTTATCTTCCTTATAGAAGGAAGGAGGTCCTTAGTCCTGTCCGTGCCTCTCCTCCAAATTTACTTTTGATAGTCTGGTTTATGTTGTCTGCGACTTGCTAGCCTTATTATTCCTCTCTGCTGTATTCTCTTTCTTCCTCCACTATAGTTTCTTTCCTCATACCCTACCTACATCAGCCACATAAATCCCTCTCATCCTTAAAAATGAAAAAGGTTCCTTATATACCATACCTGATTCTAAAGCTACCCTTTGCCTCATTTTTTAAAGAAAGCTTTCTTAATATATAATTTACATAACATAAAATTCACCTCTTAAAAGTATGCAACTCACCTGTTGGTATATTTACACACTTGTAAAACCATCACCAAAATCTAATATTTGAATATTTCAATTATGCCCATAAAAAACCTCTTATCCATCTGTAGTCACTCCCCATTTCCACTTGTAGCCCTTGGCAACCACCAATCTACTTCCTGTTTTTGCGGACTTGCCTTTTATAGATATTCCATATGAATGGAATCATATAATATTTGCTCTTTGGGGTCTGGCTAACATAATATTTCTCAGGCTTATTCATGTTGTAGCATGCATTAATACTTCTTTCCTTTTTATGGCCAAATAACACTCCATTGTATGGGTATATCACATTTAATTTATCCATTCATCAGTTGGTGGACATTTGGATTGTTTTTACTTTGTGGTTATCATGAATAATGTTGTTACAAACTAAATTTTTTGTTGTTGTTGACATGTTTTCATTTCACTTGTGTATATACATTAGGAGTAGAATTCCTGAGACTCAATTGTGTCTTCCAACATGCAAAAAAAAGTTTAATTTTGATGAGGTCAAATTTATTAGTTTTTAGTTTTATCATTCTGTTTTTTGTGTCCTAGCTAAGAAATCATTGCCTAACCCAGAGTTATGAAGATTTACTCTTAGGGTTTTTTTAAATTAATTTTGTTGTTATATCTTATATTATGTCTTTGTTCTGCTTGGGTTAATTTTCATGTTTAGTGTGAGGAAGGTGTCCAAATTCATCCTTTTATGTGTGACTATCTAGTTGTCTCTGCTCCATTTATTGAAAAGATGATTTTTTCCCCCGTTGAATTGTCTTAATGTGTTTATCAAACATCAATTGACCATAAATATAAGATTTTGTTTCTGGACTCTCAATTCTATTCCTAAACTTATGCTTGTACTGTGCTGTCTTGATTACTATAACTTTGGAATAACTTTTGAAATTGGGAAGTATGAATCTTCTCACTTTGTTCTTTTTCAAGGTTGTTTTAGCTATTTTGGGTCCTTTGCATTCCATATACATTTTAGAATTAACTTGTCAGTTTCTCCAAGGAAGAATGTCAGCTGTGATTTTGACAGAGACTACATTAAATCCATAGATCAGAAAGGGGAAATATTCTCATACTGTATTAACACCAATAGTATTAAGTCTTCCATGAATAAAAGGATGTCTTTCCATTTATATAAATCTTCAATTACTTTCAGCAGTGTTTTGTACATTTCAGTGTACAATCTTGTACTTCTTTTATTATATTTAATCATAAGTGTTTTGTTTTTTGATGCTATTGTGAATTATTTTGGAATTATTGGAATTATTGTGAATTATTTTATTATTATTGGAATTATTTTCTTACTTGACTTTTAGATTATCATTGCTAATATATAAAAATAAAATTGATTTTTGAATACTGATTTTGTGTCTTACAATCTTAATGGACTCTCATAAATTCTAGGAGTTTTTAAGTAAATTTCTTAAGATTGTCTATATATGAGATCATGCCCATCTGTAAATAAAAACAAAAGACAGCTTTATTTTTCCTTTGCAATCTAGATGACTTTTATTTCTTTTTCTTGCCTAATTGCCTTGGTTAGAACTTCTAGTACGATATTCAATAGAAGTTGTGAGAGCCAACATCATTGTTTTGTTCCTGATATGGAGAGAAAGCATTTAGTCTTTCACCATTAAATATGATATTAGCTGTGGGTGTTTTGTAGATGGCCTTTCTTAGATTTAGAAAGCACCATTCTATTCCTAATTTTTGAGGGTTTTTATTATACATGGATGTTGCCCAATGCTTTTTCTGCTTCTGTAGTGATGATGTGCTTTTTGTACTTTATTCTATTAATGTAGTGTTTACATTATTCAATATTTATGTTAAACTAACCTTGCATTCCTAAGATAGATAACACTTAGGAATAATGTATAATATGTTGCTAGATTGGGTCTGTTGGTATTTTGTTGAAGATTTTTATGTCTATGTTCATAATAGGTAATGTATTGGTTTGTAATTTTCTTCTCATACAATGTCCTTATCTTGCATTGGTACTGAGGGCAATACTGGTCTCTTATAATGGTTGGGAAGTGTTCCATTCTTTTCTAATTTTTGGAAGAGTTTATAAAGGGTTGTAGTAATTCTTTCTTCTTTAAATATTTAGTAGAATTAATTATTTAAGCTATCTGGGCCTGGGCTTTTCTTTGTGGGAATATTTTAAATTACTCACAATAATTTTTTACTTCTAATTTATCTACTCAAATTTTCCATTTCTCCCTGAGTTGGTATTGGTAATTACGCCTTTCTAGGAATCTGTCCATTTAATGTAAGCCATCTAATTTGTTGTTCATAGTATTCTCTTATAATCTAATAATTCTTTTCATTCTTGTAAGATTGATAGTGATTTCAGATCTTTTATTCCTAATTTTAGTAATTTGAGTTGTCTCCCTTTTTTTCTTGGTCAGTCTAAAGCCTTGTCAATTTTATTGTTCCCTGCAAAGAGCCAACTTGAGGTTTCATTAATTTTCTGTAATGTCTTTCTGTTTTGTATTCCATTAACTTTTATGGTAGTCTTTACTATTAATATTTCATTTCTTCTACTTGCTTTGTGTTACTTTCTTCCCTCAGCCCCTACCCCCAGTTTTATTAGGTGGAAGTTTAGGTTATTTATTTGAGATCTTTGTTTTTTTCTAATATATGTTTTTATAGCTAAGTACTTCACTCGTCCTATCCCATAAGTTGTGGTATATTGTATTTTAATTTTCATTTATCACCAATTATTTTCCAGT